CGTACTTTTCAGCCACCGAATAAAAAAGTGAGAAAGAGACAGAGGGAGAAAGGGATCGGAAGTCTGGTTCTGCCAACTCGAGCGAATCGCCGTTGTCATCCCTTTATCGCGTGGTCGAATTCTCGGCAATCCTCTCTCCTTCCAGTTAACCACCCCGAAACCGACCCCTCAATGCACCCTTGCTCCCATCACGTCAGAGTAAACAATACTTCGATCCTTTGTACTCTACGAAGAGCTTGCTTTCTCTCAAAGTGGATTCACGATGAATTTCTTTTTCGGGGGTTAAACGCACGCGGGTCGCGCTTTTCCTCAATTTTCTCTTTCGCTCGCGCTCTGTCACCCCTTACCACCGCCACCTCCGACCAGCGACGGCCGCCCTTTCTCATTTTCTCGTCAGTCGCGGTGGGCCACGCAGCCATGTTGAATGTCACGGTGCGAGCAAGTGTGAGTGAGGGGATTGGATTTTTAAAATGCAGAAGAGAGACGGCAAAACAATCTAAATTCCTATTATAATCATACATTTTTATTCTATAATAACAAATTTTATTATATAAAATGTTTTTGCAAATACAAAAGTTTAAATTATTAGTTCAGAGCTGAAAAAGTATTTTTCGCATTTTGTGTATCAAATTTATCGGTAAAAATCATGAATTGGACCGTCCGCCAGAAGCGAATAAAAGTTGTTTCATTCGCAAAGTCATATTTGCTTTGACAATATTTTCAAGGTTCGATTTATAATAGTTTGCTCGCACAATGTTAAAGCGATAAGCTGCGTTTTTTTTTACCTCATCCCAATTTCATAAATATTGTGTTCTCTACGCATTTCAGTTACGTGTTCTCGTACAGAGAATTCGTGCAATTATACATATACATATATAAATACACTCATACGACCTTACGTGATCACGTCGTTCACGTATTGATGTTCACGTGGGTGTTGGTATAAGGGATGAAACGGGACGGTGTGGCCGAGAAGGGCAAAGAGCGAGCCGAGCGGGGGAGGCTCAGTTTGCAGGGTTGGGGTTTCAGTTTGGGTTCCCCTAGCTGTTCCCCTCTATCCCAACACACCCCCGCGTTCCCCATCGCTTTGCTGCTGCTGCTGCTGCTGCTACCATCTCCTATACACCGTGTGGTGGTGGAGTACGGCGTGAGGGATGGTCGTGGATCAATACTACGGCGGGTCGAGGGGGTACACGAACGACCGTGGCACGCGCATACGCCGCACTAAGCAGGGGTGGATTTAAGAGAAAGAACACCTACGCTAATTTATTTCTGTCATTTCTGTCAACAATTTTGTTAAAATTTTCTTCTCTTTTTTTTATGAATTATATTATAATAATAAATATAACGATCAAATTATTAAAATAATATTATTTACAAAAAACAGGAGATTACAACTTTAGTGGATTTACTTTGGTGAAAAAATAGTATCCTTATCTATACTATGTAAACAAATATAATTTTTAGGTTTTTTAAATCAAACATTATACAGTAAGATAAATATTTTTTTAGATGTTTTAAAGAAAATTAAATAATTTTAATTCATATTTTTTTGTTAAAAATCAAAAAGGATCGAAGAAGGAAGGAGAATAAAATTCTTAATCTTACAAAATTACAGATTAAAAAATGTTAAATTTTTGCGCTGCAAAACCCGGGCATATATCTAAATCCAGCGCTGTGCGTGGGCGAGAAAGGGCGAAGAAGGGGTGATGGAGAAAGACGGCGTGTGAAGGGATGGAAGGTCGGACGGGAGTGGGCGAACGGTACGGTTGATTTATTAAAAATGTAGTCGAGTGCAGGAAGAGTTTTGCCGATTTGGAGATGTGCGGTGAAATATTGCCGAGGCACCCGTGAATTACGGCGGTTCGTCTATCGAGTGAGACGGCGTGGTGCGTTTAATTGGTCTCGTTAAACGCGAGACTGTTGCATTTCGGTATATATAATAAAACTCTAAGAATGTTCAGCGTACATCTATGTGCGCTTGAATGCGTAAGAAAAAAATTTTTTCGTAATTGTAAGGCTAATTATGAAAAATACAACCGTACACTTTACGTGCAAAAATAACTTGCAACTAGGAAAATAAAAAAAAAAAAACGTGACATTTCAAGAAAGAAATTTTAAAATTCTACCCTCACGTTATCGCGATAACATCGACCGATATTAATGGATATTTCGTTGTTCCACGCGTATATTTTTCTCACGACTAACGGCGTGCACAGCGATAAATTTTCAAGGTGTGGACAGAAGATGATAGATAGAAAACCCCGAGGAAGCTCGATGGGATTTGAAACAACCTGTAGGTCGGTAGACCGAAAGTCGCGCAATTCTGCGGGATACCTGTGGCTCCACGCGGCCATCGCCGCGCGATGCTTTTTCGCTCCCTTTTTTTCCGTTTCTCCCCTTTCCCATCTATTCTATTCGTCTTTTTTTTCCGCGCCGCGTCATACCGGTCGACATTATCGTGAATATCGATCGCAGATTCGGTTACTGATAACGCGGCCCCACCTGGTGCAACGAGCTTTAATAATGTACACAACAAATTTAAGAAATTCCAAAAATTAGAGATCAATTATTATTTAGAAGTCAATTCCCTAGCATGCATAATAATACAAAAAATATCAAGAAATAATATCTTTATATCTTTCTATGTTTTTTACAGAATTTTTAATTTAAAATATCGTCATACAACAGAGAAATTTTATATACTGTGATCTCAAAAGTATTTTTCCGATGAATAGATTGCGAAAGAAAAAGATACATCTAGAAACATTTTTCTGCGCGCAAAGAAAGGTTGAATTGATTTGCGAACGAGTTCGCAGGTATTCATAGCTACGGATTTCGCGATTCCAATTATTTCGTGCTACGCGGATACAGCGCATATTCCTTCTTCGAAATGCAGGAATTGTTGAAACAATGATCGAGAGTTTGTTCAACCGCGTAGAAAAAAGAATGGTGAATCGATTGCAAGTTGAAATCGTTTGGAATTAAAGCGCTCGGTAAGTCCACCTTATTACTCGGACTTCCTTTTGTTGTCAGCGAGAGAAACAAGAACTCACATTATCGTGACATTATTATATTAGTCATTATCGTGAGTTTCGAAACTTTGCCGGCGATTTCAACGAACCCGTCGAATTCCTTTGATAAAAGAAAGTTTCAATAATTCCATGTCGAAAATTCAATTGGTATTTGCTGGACACATCGTCCTCAATCTGTTGTCGCGAGATTTACTTTGTTATTTTTATTTAACGATATCGATACGCATTTTTTCAAGCGGATCAAATCGTTGTCATTTTAAATGTATGAACTTTGGTGCACTCAGTCATTTTTCTAGATTTTATCGCTTACACATGTGCGTATCCGAGAAAATCCTCCAACCGATGCATCTTTCCGCATTGTACATAAAAGATTAAAAAAAACTAACTCTTATCCCAAAGAAAATTAATGGCACAGAATCTTTTTAGTTAAGTTTAGTTTTTCCATATATGTAAATATAGAGAAAAAATATTCTTACGTTCACGCGAGCGTAAAGTGGCTTTAAGAAATACACAAATAGCCTGCATCTGTATTTCAAGTCATTTTACCAACAAGAATACCATGTGTAATTTCCATTGTATTGCATTTGTGTTCACAGTAAACAATCTCGACACCAACAACAATCGCTGCTTTTAACATACCCTCCGACGTCGGGACGCTTCTGAAAGCGTTATTAGCGACAGCACCGGTATCCAGGCGCAAACTTCGTCAATGAACGAAACTTTTAATTACTTCTACACCGTAGGCGTATGTTTATGGAATATATTGCGCCTATAATCGCAACCTGCAGACTTTACTTTAGGTGGGAATGAGAGTGAGAGGGAAACGGTGATACGTATCATCACGGGTCAAAATAGTTCGCCGAAAGGCACATCTCGACGTATCGTACATTATTACTATCGACAAACGTGTCTCGAAATATATATATATATATATATATATATATGCTGGTGGATATTTT